GAGATGAAGCAGATCGTGAAATATTGTTACATCAGTAAACCAAAAAATCAACGTAAACGCAAATAGTGACGTCACTAATTGCTTGTATCGTACAGGGGTTTTACTCACACAACTTAACCGATTGCTTCACCTCGGTAATCCAGTTCATTGGTCAACCCCGGCGGCGCAAAACCTTATAGGGTGCTTCGTCCTGCTTCACCAACAGAGGATGAACCGCCTTCAATCGTATGAGCTGATTGAAAACCAACCTGATGGCGAAATTCACTTTTAATTAAAATTACCAATAATTATGCACTTTGTACGTAATATTATTCCTACATAAAATATCATTATTCCTTCAAAGAACAGAATGTATAAGTAATATCGCTATTACCACAAAGAACAAATTGTAGAAATTTATTAATAGATAGAAGCAATATTTGTACAGAAACTACAAATTTTCCGAAAATCTTCCGGCACGGGACAACCTTCCGTAAAAGTCGTAAAAGTGGTCAAATGGGCTCTTTAATTTTGAAAAATTCATTAGTTACTATACATAATCTGAAAGGGCTTTATTTTCTGAGCACAACGTATTTTTTCAATCCCATTTACTTCCATCTCGATTTTTAAATCAACATTTTTTGGCAAAATAATTATTTCACTGTTTGACACAAAACTAAAAAAATGACAGCTCGCTCCCATACAAAGTCCCAACGAGGGACGCTAAGATGGGGATTGTTGCTAATGTAATCGCACTTATTTAAAATAGTTTCAGTGCTCTAAAATTCCATTTGAAATGGAGGGGTTACGGGGTGTCCATCTGGAAGAGCTGGAACAACCGTAAAAGTGGTCAATTAACTCGTAAATTCATTAAGCTAGTGTTAGAACTCTGTGTTTTTTCCGAAGCACTTTCAGATGACTGATTAGAATGAATTCGGAGTTTTGGTCGGAAAATAGACACTGTATCCACGTACACCGATGACCATCCTGAAGATCCGGAACAATTGTATAAGTGGGCTATACGTGAAACGGGTCCTAACTCCGAAAGCACCCATTCAAGTCTCATTAGAATGACTTCGTATTTATGATCAAAAATGGATACTGGGGGGCCACGAAGTGACCTTCTTAAAAATCCGGAAGATCCAGAACAACCGTGAAAGTGATCAATTATTGAAACTGGTCCTAGATGTCTGCGGAAAGAATCAATACAAGTGCCAATAGAATAAATTCGGACTTGATTCCATAAAATTAAAACTGGTAACTCACGGGATGTCCTTTAGAAAGATCCGCAAGAACAGTGAATGCAATGAAATTATGAAAATGGTCCTGCGGTATTTTCGAAAGCAATTAGAATTACTTCGACTTTTAACCAAAAAAAATGGACACTGGGTTAACCTTCCGGAAGATCTAAAACAATCGTAAACGCGGTCAATTAATTAAACTAGTTCTAGAGCTACGTGATTTTTTTAAAAGTACTTATAAAAGTTTCATTTTGATCGGAAAATGGACCTAGGGTGCACGGGGTGACCATCTGGAAGATCCGGAACAACCCTAGAAGTGTTCAATTAATGAAACTGGCCCTATTGCTCTGTGGTTGTTTCGAAAGCTTCCCGGCAAGTCTCATAAGAATGAATAAAAAATTACCACTCAAAATCCTTCCCAACTCGATGGTCTCTTCAATATCTTACTTGGAAACATTGAATGTATTTGGCATGTAAATCCTCTAAGAGTAGCCTAAGGGTAGCCGTTTTCCTAAGGGTTCATATTTCGGTTAAAACTTCGAATTAATACGTTTTTGATTTTGTCCTTCGGCATACCATAAAAATGTATTAGAAATTAGTCATTTTTTTGGATATCATCATAGGGGAAATGGATGTAATGTCGGCCTAAATGCCCCTAATTTGGGCCCATATATAATTTCAGCAATCGACTAAATTTTCAATAGCGACCAAAAGTATCCATTTCTACCATCCCAAAATATAAAATAAAATAATAAGATAAAATTGATAAATAGCAGATTTTTAGTGATGGGTCCGCTTAGATACATAGACCAACATTAGAGCCTTTTCCCCTATATTAGGTCAATATTTTTTTTTTTACTTTTGCAGAGTTTTGCTATTTTAAGAATTATTTATGGAATATTGTTTTAATAACTCTTGTATGCTCAAATAACCTCGATTATTTAGCAAATTGATTCTTTACTTGAATTGTGGATTCATTCAATAGGCAAAGTTGAGTTCAATCACACCATGCAATTAAAATATTCTCATATAGCTTGAGTTTAAAGAAATTGAGTGACTGGAATCGAAGTTGTTTGTATTTTGTTATATTTTATTAATCGACGAAATGGATCCGGATTTTTGACGTCTGTATTTGAAGGAGATACCTGCGATGGGTCGAAGAAAGTCTACGAGGAGGCCGGTTGCTGTTGGTGCAGCTCCACTTGATTATTTGTGTGAGATCATTCCTTCGTTATTTATACAGTAACCCCTCCCTATCGTTGGGACATCATTTCAGCTTATCGTTTACCAAAACGAACCCTGCTGCAAACCCTACCATCTTACCCAACATCCCAGTGATGCCTAGTGGAAGTGCAGAGGATTTCTCGGCTTCCATCAAAGCGAGTGTCACGTCAACACATTCCTACCTTGACCTGCATTCGGGCGCGGCCGGCGCTGGTATTGCCTAGTTTGAGATCACCAGTTTTTACACATTGAGGATGATTGCTAGTCCCAAGCATCGTCTATCTGGCAATAATAGAGTAGCAACCGTGGGCGGTCATTCATGCTCATGCTTTAATTTGTTTTTGTCTTTATTAGAGAAATTTTTAGTCGTTGGCTAGTTACTCAAAATACTTGATTTAACCATAGAGGTAACTCTAAGACCAGAAGGTCCCGAAGAAACGTGCTCAACTTTTTGGCTCAGCTCTGGTACTCTCTTCGGTCCCAAGTTAATCTATGCACCTCTCGAAACATAGGAAAATCCATGAACCCCTCATTTTATCTGTCAAACTTTCATAGCGAATCAAAACAAACATAGTGTAGTACTAGAATTTTGGCTAGAATGGGGTTCGTTAATCGACGATGTAAATCTTTAGTTTTCACCGGTTGATATATCGATTGTCAGCAACGCCGGTTGGACGTATCCTATGGGTTACTCTCCCTACTAACAAAATTATACCCTTCCCGTGACACCTATGAGGGGTCGTAAAGTTCTCTGCATCTTTCTTAAGTAAGTGTTGGACTAACATTACTCCCCCTTCCCTACCAGATGCAAGGACGTGGAAGAGCTAATTAGTTACAATGTTCAGCAAATGCATGCAAAATATAGTTGTAGAAAAAACCAAAATTATAGGATGCTTAGAAAATCAGTTATACTAAAAAACATGATTTAAAGGGACCTTTCACGAAAAATGATACATATCTCGCAATTTATAAGAGCAAGTAATTTTGAGTGTTGAGCAAAGTTGCATAAAATAATATTTGCTACAACTTTATTGAAGACGATAAGTCTCTATCTGAATCAGATAAAAAAAATTTTTTTTTGATCTCACTTTTAGGTGGATTAATCACCAAACCGTCTACATCAAAAGAAGCGGATTAACATATGCAAAAACATCTTTGAACAAACTATACCCCTAAAATCAATGTTTGAGAAGCTATTAAAAAAGCGCAGGAAAACGGCAAAAAACAACACTGTGTAATGGCCAAGTTTTGAAAAAAAAGTAGAATATGTCATATGGCAGGTTTAGGCTATTGTCAAGAATTGACCACTCCCCCGAAGGCTCCGGATGATACCCGGGATGCCCAATATGGCCATCGACCATCAATATTACCCGCATTGTTCCAATAACATCATTTGGTTTAGCAAACCTTATGTTTACCGTTTTTACAACTGCACTGGAGTCGCTTTTTACGCGGTTTTTTTTACACGGTTTTTTTTACGCGGTTTTTTTACACGGATTTCAGAATTTACGCGGATTTTGATTTTTTTTTACGCGGATTTCAGAATTTACGCGGTTTATCGTTATACACTAGAGTCGTTTTCTACGCGGTTTTTTTTACGCGGATTTCGGAATTTACGCGGTTTTTTTTACGCGGATTCCGGAATTTACGCGGTTTTTCCTACGCGGGACGTATCACCCACGTAAAAAGCGACTCCAGTGTATAACAGAACAATCAGCCGAGCCAGAGTAACCCAATGGAAACTGAAATAACTCTGAAATCCGGGTACCGGGCGGAATCATGTAATGAATCACAAATTTCTTAACGGATTCAAAAATCTGATAAGATTACCGACAAAATAAAACTTGATGTGGCAAATGATTTTTAAGAGCTAATTGCATTTTCAAATCTACCCAGATCTAGACGTTAAGGACGCAAAGGTTAACATTGTTAATTGACAAACATAAGTCGCACGGAAAAGTTGTGGATCATCTATGCTACCATGGGAAGGAGAGGGTTAATAGTACTCAAAATGTAATTCGTTTATACTTGAAAATGAAGTAAACGGACTTTAATTACAAAAGTATGACTGTATTTAATAGACTTAAATAGTAGTTAACGCACTGCAGAGCGTTGGCGTTCATTCAGGGGACCCAAGCTCGAGTTGCTTGTGTTGATATTTATTCAGCCAAAATTCAACGGAATGCGTTGTGGTTGGAACAGCTCGCTTTATATAGTGCAATTAAGTTATAGCAGGTTGAACTCGGTCGAGATTTTGACCTATGATTACAAGGATTTTAGAGAAGCATAAGAATTACAGGATTTTAGAAAAGAATAAGAATTAAGCATTTTGGTGCAAAAATAAAGAAATTTGCTAATCGGATCAAATGGGTGATCATTGAGACAAGTAGGTCTAACAAGCTCGTAGTTGCTCGAGGCAGCTTTGACAGTTATTTTTGACAGAAAATCACGAGTAAGTCCGGGCAACTTCGACTGAGTGCGAGCTGCGTCATTAAACACATCTAAAATTTACTCATACAGCATTTACGAACTATGTATTTTTTTAATTATTGGCAGATGTTGCATAAAGACGTCAGTGAGCTGGCCATGTCATTAGAAACGGAGCGGTACCGGGCGGAACGATTGGAAGAGCAACTAAATGACTTAACTGAGCTACATCAGGTTAGTAGAAGATAGATTTTATACTCGATTTATATTGTATTTAGCATTTCTTACTTGGCTCCTCAACAGTGCGGAATCGCTAATAAAAGTGTGCTTTTACGTTGTATCGTCTTGGTGTCTTTTGCGCACTTTTTTGTTATAAGCCAAGGAATAAGTGTGTCTAAGACACCAAAACGATTTAACGTCAAGCGGCCTTTTATTAGCGGTCGCACTTATAATGTGCGTAATGCGCAATACCATATAAAGTTAATTATTAAGACGAAATACCATCTAAATGGCACGTAAATTTTATGAAGATAAATCTGTAATTTTGATTTGATCTGTATTTAGACACTCTATCGTCCATGTTCATCTAACATATGGGGATTTTTTTTTAATTATCGGCAAATTGGGTCGAAGGGTCTTCGATTTCTATGAAACTTCGCCCATTGGCGTTGACGACGACACTGTAGCTCTTTACCATAAGCAACCATCAGACTGTGCGTGAAACATGGCGGACTTCTTGTTCTTCTTACTATTCTTTCCCTCCACCGAAAAATCCTATAAGAAATTGTCAATCTTTTCTAGAAGAGACAATTTTTCGACGGTGCCGTCAACGCCAATAGGTAGAGTTCATAGATATCAAAAAAAGTAAATTAAAAAAATAAGGAGGGCCAATTTTTTCCGGAAAACCATAGTTAAAGTTTTCCGATTCTTTCAGACTCCACCAATTTAAAAAAATCATAACTTTTGAACCAAGCATCGCACAGTCAAAGTCAATTAACGAAAATACTTGTAATTTTATCAACTATTCTTTTAAAAAAATACAATTGGAAACAAATTTTGCATGAAGGTTTTTACCATTTGTTGCTTATGCAACGAATAGAAAGGTCTGCTCCGAAATTTTGAAAGAATTGAAAATGTATTGCGTTAAAGTTTCCTGAAAATTCATGTGATTTAGTTTACAATCTTTAACTTTCAATGTTTTTGACTTACGTTTTGTAATTTACTATCGTTTTGTTTCAACCCGGAATTGATAACAGATTTACCGTGTGTTTACAGTGATCAATTATTAGCCAAGTGTAATTTCTAGAATAATAATTTGCATGTAAATTAGCACTTCAATTAGAGAATAATTAATTTTTCAACTCATTGCTTGGGTAGAATAACAAATTTTGGCTTTTTAAGCAATTAAATTTAGGGTCTTATGCAAATAAACGCGATAATTTAGCTAATACATTTAGAAAGCATTTTTCGATATTTTATCACATCAGTTCGGTCTTTTCGATCGCTTTCATAATGTTACCCTTTGTTTTTCCCATGATCTGCTTCTGTCAACTGTCGACCATTCAGTTGGTACCGCACGGTCGATATGGACGTGTGCTCATCGACGAGGGGTGTTCGCAACACCATTAAAGCAAAGCTGTGGAAATTATCGTCTGTATCATGGATTTTTACCAATTTTTTTTTTCATGTTTGGAAATGTACAAGCTTTTTTCGGTGAAAATTTCAAGATCATTTTTTAGGATTTTTAGGATAACGTTCAGGATTTTCCTCTTCATCGATTTTGTGGTGACGGCAGTTCGGTTCCCTCCTGTGTACGATCGCTGCACTGTGGTCCAAAACGGCAAAAAGTGGAACTTTATTCCTAGAGCCTAGCCTTTACATTTTAGCCATATAGTGTCTTGGGAAAAAATGTTTGTATAAATATCTTACATAATATAAAACTGTCAAAAATTAGTCATGTCTTACTATGCAAAAAATAAAAACACTAACTTTTTTCTTTGAGGATATAGGGGAACGATGTCTTTAGCAAAGTTGTAGACAATGTAAAAACAAGCAACTTCACTCAATACGTCAAAATTCTAAATCCTGTATTTTCAGAGTTATGGAGCTTTTTCTATGGAAGTTCCCTTAAATTTAGTTTTTTATACTTAACTTCTTTAAATTTCATTTTTCAAGTATACAATGTTCAAGACAATTATTTGAACAATCAAAACACACGTTTTTGCTGAAGATCATGAATCATTATAATTACTCCTTGTATAGTTATAACAACTTTTATCTTTATTTTATCCATTACTTCATAAGCTTTTAGGAGAGAATGGGGCAAGTGAGGACACAAAACCAACTTTTTTTCTTGAAGCTTAGCTCAAGTACTATGAAGTTGAGAAGGTTTCATTTGTCGCTCCCTTCCCAAATTTGAGTACAGTAACCTTATTATTTATGGTTTTTCATATATTTTTCACTTTCTTTTTTAGGTTTTTTATACATAATTTTTTACTCTTTTATATTTGAAGTATATAATGTTCCAAATAATCTTAAAACAGTAAAAACACATGTATTTGTACAAGACCGTTAGTCTCTAAAATAATGCATTGCAAAGTTATAGCTTATTTTAACTTTATTTTGCTTTATTTTTTTGTTTATATGGGAGAATGTGGCAATGGGAGCACAACATTATCTAGCCTTCTTGAAGCCCAAGTACCAAAAAGCTATGCAGATTCAAGTTCACCCTTTCCTCCTCCTATTTGAGTATGACAACTTTACGCTGTTACATATTTTCTTGTTTTTATAGAAAACTTAATATATTGAACATTCGCAGCATTAAATTATAGCTCAAAAATAATACAGAGGTTAGGGTTTCGCTTGAAACTACCGGCAACTCTCTTTGTCGTCTCAGCGGCTTCCGGTTTTCGATTTCCCCCCGATCCAGACTTCCTGGCTGTCGACAAACGTTCCCCAAACACTTTAATTACATTTGTAACGGTTGATTTGGCAACTTTTAGCGATTTTGCCAACTTTGCGTGCGAGTAGCTCGGATTTTCGCGATGCGCGAGCAAAATTTTGATACACTGCTCTTCTTGCTTGGACGGCATTTTGACAACTGAAGAGTGAATTCCAAAATCAAAATAGGAGCAACATTCTACACACACACACCTTCAAAATGAGGGGTGTTCAGGTTTTTTAAATGCAAAATTGAAAGAAATACGTCAAGTTGATATTGAACAAATTTTGTATCACCCTTTATTCTCACCTTTCTCGATTCCCTCATCGGAACTCTTTTTTGTTCTCGATATCCCCATGATCCGTTCCAGTTCCGACTCATCGTTGACCACCTTAATTAGTCGCACTACAAAGCAAAGATGAATGACCAATCTTCTACAAAATACTCGTACCTAATACCTCCGATGAACTTGTGCTGTGGATAGCCAAACATCAGCATCTAAAATTAAGGTGCTGCATTTAAATAATGTTTTATAAACACTTACTGCAGTTTTTTCCACTTGGAGCTCGGATAAAAATACTTGTTTGAGGCGGTTTATGCCGATTCATGACAAGAGCTAAAGAGAGAAACGAATTGTTATGCATAATCATGAACAATGACATATTATTCATACTCAATAGACCTGTTCATTTTAACAGAAATGTTCGGGATGCACCGGGTCAACTGTGATTACTGTTCGTCATGTTAGGATTCATATTTCAAAAAATATCATCTATCAATGAAACAATCATCGGTCGTCATTGAAAAGCAATGTAACTATGTTCTGACAATCTAATTGAATCGTTTATTGGCTCTGTTGACTTGTGAATTTTAGCTATAACGTGTGTGTGTGTGTGTGTGTCATCCTCTATCCCTCACCCAGCCGGGGGCGTTGGACAAGTAGAACTGCGAATAATTTGATCAAATCTCCTGCTCCGTAATGGTGCCCTTTATGTTGTGAAGACTAGTACTTCAAAAAGGGTAACTTTTGAGGCAAGACAGGGTTTCCTCAACAAGTTAAGGGAACAGGATGCACTAGATGTCCACAACAGGTACAGCAAAACATCACATAGACGCCCTTATGCACACTAACTACTCAGGGGATAGAAGGTCAAGAAGAGCCACCGCCGCCAACTAAAGCTTGAACCGGGTACCTGGGACTCCCACGATATACCCGCCGCAATGGTCAGTAGACGATGCCCTGTGCGTATTTAGTATGTAACATGTTTTATTTGGATACACAAAATGTTTGAAGCCATGCGTCATCTAAACCATAATTTGCATCACCACAAATACATTTGTCAACAATCTTCAACTGGAACGTACTCACCAAATCACTTCACCCGGGAGCGCATTCCCGATGCTTCCACGCATATTTTTCTCTCCACTCCAACCACATAACAACCAAATATCACTTTTCTTTTTCAAGACACTCCGTGCACATCGCAAAACCCTAACAATAGATCAGCGCCGTGCTCATTACCGCGTAAATAAACAGAAATTAAAATTTTCACTCGCGATGCCACAAATTTTTGGTGCGGGAGAAACAATCAAACCACGCAGCGCCAAATCTTCTCTTGTGAATTTTAGCTATAACGGCCTCTTTTAAGATTTTTATCTCTCAATCTATGGAATCTACACGAAAACTGTAAAAGGATGTTGCGGTGAAAGGATGTTGCTCGTGGACATTACAGAAGTTTGGTTTACATCTCACTGCAGTCTGAAAAATTATCGAGAAAATCTGCCCAAGAAAAATCGACTAAGTCCACGTAAACAGTACCACTGAACTGTTATCCGATTGAGGTTAACCCCGACTGTGCAAAACCTTATAGACGATTGTTGTGTATTAGAGAACGCTTGCGTAAAGAGACTAGGGTGGGAAACGGATTCGAAACTCAAATGTCATTAGCCAAATACATTCATAGATCATATAATTCCACCGTTGTATAATTGGCAATGCACCCGTGTACTGAATGGGAATTGTGGGTTCGAATCCCACCGGTGCCCTTAGATTTTTTCGCAAATTTTCTCACACACGTTTCTCACCGATGATATGTACTTACCTCTCAGTATGTTCAAACTTTCTCATAAAGGCTTTATTACGTATACATACATAGTGGCGACGATCACCGGAACGATCTGTATCATAATGTCGACCAGATCGTTTGACTTAGACGTTTCAACTCGGCCAACCCCTTGATTTTAATATAATTTCATTTGATTTTATTATAATATAGATGGGTAGGTATACCTATAGGTATTTAAGCTGCTACGCGTACGGACGTAGTGCAAGGAGAAAGAACAATTTGATTTTTTTTAAAGAGCGCTAGACCGGTTATCAGTTTTTCGAGCATATCTCCAAACCGGTATAAGATACCTACTTGAAATTTTCACAAAAAAAAGCTTATACATTTCCAAACATGAAAACATTTTTTTTTCTAAAAACAAGTGATATAGACGATAATTTACACAGCTTTTCTTTTGGATTTTCTTTAATGGTAAAAACTTTTATGAGAAATTTGTTTCCAAGTGTATTTTTTATCAATAGCTGACAAAATTACAAGTATTTTTTGTTAATTGACTTTGACTGTGCAATGTGGTGTATGTTTTTTAATTTACTCTTGTTAATATATCCATGAACTCTACCTATGGGCGAAGGTTCACAGAAATCGAAGACCCTTCGGCCCAAACCTGTTTGGCAATTTAAGAAAAATCCCCATATGCATTTATTACGCTACAAAGTAAATTTGCATTGTTATATTAAATGCCATGCCGCACAGGAAATAACTGTGCATCTTCCACTTCAACACCAGTTTTACTAGGTTTTAAATCGAATTTCCGTCCTGCTATGGCATAACCCTGCCCTTTACCTCTTTTTGAATGGATTTGAACAAAAAAGTAGAATGTCTTGACTAAGGATGACTTCTAAATTCACAGACGGCCAGACACAGACAAACAGACGTAACTCATCGTATCATAAATCATCGTTCAAGCATTTAACGTCAATATAAATAATATTGAATTTTTCATTTCTAAAAAGTCACGCACAATGGATACATTGCGTTAGCGTGGATTTGACAGGTAGCCCATGGGTGACGTCAATATAACGCAAACGAATCCATTGTGCGTGGCCCTTAATTGGACTTCTCAAAAGTGCGAAATAGCTAATAAAAGTTCGCCGTTACGCATCTACGGTTTTTTAGACAAGTTAATGATTAACGAAAGACAAAGGCGATGACGGGACTCGACTTTGGACTTTACTTTGGAACTAATCCTTGATTTAGTAACCAAGTTTATTTTCATAGAACGACTTGCGAGGTGTTCCATGACGATATTTTGAAGGAGAGGTTGTTCAAAGAGCTACACCTGTTTGTACTTTCCACACATGTATCGTTGGATTTGATGACAAATTGTTTATATTTTGGTAAAAATAAAACACCGTCCTACGCATGGCTTTGAAGCGAGCAGTGCTTCTTTCGAGATAACTGCCTAAGTATGAGCCTAACATATGTTTTCTACTGTATTTTCAGAATGAAATTGAAAATCTAAAACAAGCGATTGCAGATTTGGAGGAGAAAGTTCAATATCAAAGTGACGAAAGGTTACGTGATGTTTACGAGATAATGGAGAATTGTCAAACTCGTGTAAGTAGATAACATAATAGGAGTATTCACATAGCGCATCTTAAGCGTGTAAACCCTCGTAAATGAATAACCTTCGTTATACTGAAGCCTGGTATTTTTGCAATAGCGTAAATGTTTACGATGCGCTATGTGAATACCCTTATCCCTCTCCTTCCCAGGTAATCCACGACTTTTCGTTCCGTTTCACCATTACTATATAGTACTTATATACACACTTAGATTTTTTTGCCTAGATGGGCACCACCGAGCAGCTCGGCATTTTATTTTGCTGGAAATTCAGCAAAAAATATGTTTGTTAGCTGAGATCTCGGCAAAATTCCCGTTTGTTAGCTGAATCTCGGCAAGTTTTTCACTGAGATCCAGCAAAATAAAATGCCGAGCTGCTCGGTGGTGCCCATCTCGGCGAAAAAATCTAAGTGTGTAGGGGTAAGAGGGGCATAGTGAGCATCCCGTGCACCAGCTTATACTTTCGGTCGTTCGGAACAAATTGGTTGGTGGTAAGATCAATATCATAATGATATTGAACCTACTACCAGTTGATTTGTTTCATGCAGCTGCACACTTAAATTTTTTCGCCGAGATTCCAACAGCCGAGTAATTCTGCAATTTATTTTGCTGATATTCAGTCAAACAATTGCCGAGACTCACCTAACAAATAAAATTTTGCTGAGATATCAGCTAACAAACAGATATTTTGCAGTGATATCAGCAAAAGTGAATGCCGAAGTAATCGGCTGTTGGAGATTTTACCGAGCTAGATTAAGTGTGTGGAGATCCAGAGCCAAACTGCGGGATGCTCACTATGCCCCACCACTATGCCCCACCACTATGCCCCACCACTATGCCCCTCCTCCCGCTAAGCTTCTTCGTGTAGTGGTACAGTGGGTAGGGTAGTTGCACATATAGATGATATTGCACAAACAACATGTTTTAACTGATGTAATAATTTTAGGCTGTGTGGAACATCGTTTGTTCTAGCATTTTTGACGTAGGATTACGTCTTTGTGACGAGTATGTTGTTATGAATATGAATTATCTCTCCCAGTTGATAAATAGATAGTTCTTATGTTTGGTAAACATCCAATTATAAGTGCAGTCTGAGGTCTAAGAGGCAGTGTTCTTATCACTTCTTAGTTTTCGGATGAAGAAGTGCAAGATATGATTAATTATGAGTAAGATACCATATGGGAAAAGTGTATTTTCCTATTCGGCCCCATATACCGCTAGCTAGTTTCGAAGACCACGGTGGAATAGAAAACAACCATAAGAAGTATAGAGAAAGAGAGAAGGATTAGTAATTTCCATTTAATTCCACTATTTTATTAGCTTATCCTTGACAGATACGCGTATTTCGTCTACAAAGTGCAGACTTCTTCAGTGTATTGTACTAATACTCGTATACGAGTATTAGTACAAGAAACTGAAGAAGTCTGCATTAGACCTACGAATATCTCGAAAATAAAAACTTACGGCAATTTAAGCACTAAAGGGTCACGCACATTAGATCCGTTTGCGTTGCGTTGACGTAAATTTGACAGTTAGACAATAGATTTAGCTGTCACTTTGCCGCAACGCGTCCGATCCGGATCTAATGTGCGTGGGCCTTAAGAGCTTTTTTGTTATATATTTAATTTGTTTTAATATTAACTCTATTTCAAAAATATTCGATAACTGTAGGTAGTATTTTGGAAAACAGTACTTTTTTCAATAATTCATATTTTTTGTTTGTTTATGAATTGCCCAGCAAATACACATTGTCAGTGAGTAGCACTTTATCTAAACTACAATATAAATATAATAAAAATATTTAAAAAAAATGCAATTTGATAAATTTTAATTTTTTGTTTTAATTATTTTGATTTTTTCGTAATTAAAAAATAACTTTTTACAGTGTATATTTTTGTTTGCTTCTGTGTTGTAAACTTAATGTGTTTTAATGTTAACACTACTTCAAAGATATTCGATAACTGCAGGTAGTATTTTGGAAAATAGTAGTTTTTTCAATATATCATAACTTTTTTGTTTATGAATTGCCCAGCAACTACACATTGTCAGTAAGTAGCACTTTATCTAAACTACACTATAAATATAATAATAATAATTTAAATAAAATATGCAATTAGATTATTTTTTTTTTTAAATAATTTTGATTTTTTTTTTTTGTAAATAATAAAGTAATTTCACTATATTTTCATCTCCTCATCTATCGTATAAAAATTACCACTTTTGTCTGTTATTTTTAATTAGCATCTTCAACTATGTAAATCGTTAACTTCACGCAGAAGTAATACAATAAAAAATAGTTACAGTAAAATGTGAAGCTCGATGTAAAGCTAAATCTTATCTAAATATAAAGGAAATTATTCGTTACAATTGGGCATTGCATCATTTTTTGCCTGAAATTATTACCCAGACAACCAGAAGCCGTATAACAATATACAGACAGTATCGACAGTTTATGTCAACAACGCATATAAGAATGACATACATCGCATTGTGTTTAAGTTAAATCATATAGAATGCCAATTTCCGACTTATTTTCGATGATTTTTTTCCATCGTACTGTATCAGAAATTGAATCGTATTACATCTTAAGACTTTTCAAATTGAATTTGTTATAAGATGAGTTTAGGAAGCGTTAGGAGAAATCTTCAAATTTTTGTAAATAAGAAGAGAAAATATCTAAACTTTTCTGCAAGATTTCTTTCTATTGCAGAAATGCCTGTGTCATCGGCAAACAAAGATTTGTGGTAACCCTGAGGCAAAGCATGGAGGTTCGAAGTGAAAATATTATACAATATCGACCCAAGAATGCTACCTTGAGGAACTCCTGCTTGAACAGGTAGTCGATCAGTTAGCGGCAGCGGTGGTGTAGTGGTAAGCGTGATTGCGTCTCACCCCAAAGGGCCTGGGTTCAATCCCAGTCGGTGCCACCGGGATTTTCTGAGGCATAACATCTCTGATCACGCCTTCGGAAGGGAAGTAAAGCCGTTGGTCCTGGTCCATGATTTGATTGATGGGTCGATAGGTATGGTCCAGGTGTGATTATAATGATGATGATGCTGATGGTCCCACCTCTTACTCCTAAAAAGGTTGATTTATCTTTAAGATAACTAAATATGACATTTTAACCAGGTTAGCAAACACAATCGAACTGGTTTCAGTTACAGATATAAATTCCCTCTAGAGTTTACAGTAGCTTCACAGCGATATAAATGTGGAAAAGCTCAGGCGTCCACCTCTTAGTTCGCCTTTTTGTCCACCTAAAATATTAATAAGTATTACAAGCGATCAAGAGTTAATGAACAATCAACAAAGCATCCTATTATACTAGCAACCCCGCAATCTGATGCTATCATAATTTTCAGCAATGTCAGGAATGCTCACGAACCCCCAACATTTGCCAGAAAACTTACTACTAACTCAAGGTATCTTCCAAATAAGATTCAAAATTGCATTTTTTTTTTATCAAATGTTGAATTCAGTCCTCTATATCCGTAATACGCGCGAGACTCAAACCTCTGTAGACTATTTTTTTTAAAGCTACTACTATTACCTCAAATATTAAAAATCCATCATCACCATCGTGGCGAACAAAATATTTTTTACAGTGCTACAATAATTATTGAAAAATCATGACAGCTATTCATACAAAAAAAATCCGTTAGAGATAACTTCGTCAAGATACATAATTTGTCAATTCATTAAAAAAAATCACTAGATAACTGTTCAAAAGACAGTTTTCACGTGTGAAATGCAGTGTCTTTTAAATTGTGTAAGTGTTGCTGAACGTTTGACATGTCTAGGGATCGAATTGAAAACATTTATTCCTTTAAAATATAATGAATTTTGTGAAGCACAAGGCAACAAATGTGGTGTTCTTATTTCAACCGCGTTTTTAGTATTATATCTATAAAAGTCACTTCCTCTTTCAATTCGATCACACAAATATCGCGGCAGCAAACCGTTAACTACTTTAAAATGAACACCATAGTCAAATATACAATTCTTTGCTTCACCGACAACCATTCTAAGGCGTCTAGCATAAAAGTTTAGGTAGTGAATCTATTACATCTCAATATCAAACGTATTATTTTATTCAGCAAGCGCTGTAATCTCGAGATTTGTGTGTCATTGGCCAGAAATAAAATGGAAGGGAAAAAGTCTAGATGAGGAGAGATGATTGATTTGTATAGCTGCATTTTACTGGCAATAGTTAAATCGTTTTTCAGTCGACATAGAATTCCATACTTCATGGCAATTTTCTTGACGAATTTGTCAATATGAGAGTTGAACATTAGGTTGTCATCAATAATCACGCCAGATATTTAATCTCCCCAACGCGATCAATAGCCTCATCATCAATTACAACAGAGACGTTCTCATTTACTTGATTCCGCGAAATAACCATAAATTTTATTTTACTTGTATTCAATTTCAACTGCTTATACTTATACCATTCACTTAGAGAATGCAAATCTTCATTAATGTGTAAAACTGCATTATCTAAATCCTTAGCTGCAATGAATATCACATTATCATTACAAGTGCACTACACTTACGCGGACTCAGGCAAAGCTTATTACAGATAATGCAAATGTTCTATTCAAAGATAGTAATAGTCTGCCAGATCAGAGTTGTGACGAGCAGAATGTATCGGTTTCGGATTTCAAAATGATGGGGAAGCAAAGAAGCAATTATTTTCTGTTGCTGACTCTATCACTGGTAAACGAAACAACGTTGCTGCTCAGATAGACAACGCGTTGAGAATTGGCATGGAAAAAATCCAACAAATTTTGAACGATTCTTTAAGTTGCTTTGAAAAATTAATTAGTGATAAGTGGAATACGATGACTAGTTCATGTTTTGAAATTAGTACGGAAAAGAAATTAGCTGCAACGAATGGTGCGTCTGAGACGGTTCATTCTGAATCGGACCGAAATCCCAGACGGAAAAACGTAAATTTCAGAATAGTGACAACGATTCAACTGATGATGTTT